TTTCTATAGTTCTAGTGAGGACGCAGGCAGCAGCGTCTGGATCAGCTGTCTGATCTACTTTCTATAGTTCTAGTGAGGACGCAGGCAGCGGCGTCTGGATCAGCTGTCTGATCTACTTTCTATAGTTCTAGTGAGGACGCAGGCAGCAGCATCTGGATCAGCTGTCTGAGGCAGACCTGTGGAGACGCTGCTGCTGGGATCAATTCTGCTAAAGATGAATGAAACAGGTGGTAGAAGGTCCACTTTGTTCTTGTCTTTTGAGCCTCTGAAGGTTCAGGTCTGAGTCCATCACTACACCCAGATCTACTGTAGAGCCTGATTGCTGATTCCTAGCTGGATTAGCTGAAGCTGGGTGCTAACTTTGAACCGCTCTACCTATGGTCCATAAACTATGACTTCAGTTTAGTTTGATTCAGATGAAGAACATTTAGTTCATCCATGCATTGATTTCTTCTCTGCATTTAGAGCTAGAATGGGTTCATAGTCCCCTGATGACATTGGGGTGTAAAGCTGTGTGTCGTCTGTATAGTGATGTTAACTGATCTGGCTGCTATAATCTGAGCCAAGGGGAGCCTGTAGATGTTAAATAGGAGGGGCCCCAAAATGGAGCCTTGAGGAACCCCACATGTGATTTTTCTGGTCTTTGATTTAAAGTTCCCTACTGACACAGAAGTCCTTGTCCTTCAGGTAGGATTCAAACCAGTCCAGTGCTGAACCAGAAAGGCTGACCCGGTTTTCCAGAAGCTTTAATAAAATCTATGATCAACAGAAAGTCTGGTCTGAGGTCCAATAATATTAGAACTGTGGTTCTTCCAGTCTTAATTTTTACAGATGTCATGAACACCTTGATGACCTCAGTCTCTGCGATGAAGGAGGGAGCTTGACTGGAAGATATTGAAGCTCTTTCCAGCCATTAGTTCTGCAGCCAACATACCGTGTTCTTCCGAGTAGAAATGACCAGATTGAATAAATCCTAGAACTCCCTGCTGACGGCCTTCAGCCTTCTCAGATATCTGCCAAACCCCCATTTTCCCAAAAAAGGATTTGACCACATCTTATACTGCAGGACAGTGTTAGGAAAACAGTGTTAGTAGAAGTTAACCACCTGGCCTGAGATAAAAGAACAAATAAGCTAACAGTATGAATGTGTTTACAGCAGAGGCAAACCTCAAACAATGAGTATAACAGGAGGCGAGGAATAAAGAAACTAATTGATGGGAAAAAAGGGTTCGCTTCTTAATTTATGACCCGATCACCTCTTTACTCTAAAAAGATTTAACCTGCTTTTAGCTAAAAATCCAGATTTTGGCTATTCTCCACATGTGGTGTAATGTAGAGATAACTCCTGTGTTTTTGTATTTTATTTTTATTGTCATTCAACTGTCATTAGTACAGAGCAGTGGGCTGCTATTGTACGGCCCCAGGGAGCAGTGTGGCGTTAAGGTCTTTGTTCAGCCAGAGTGGCAGTCTGTGGCAGTGGGGCTTGAAGTCAGAACCTCTGGATTCCAAGCTCTACGCTTCGACTACTAGGCCACCACTCCCCACAGCAGGCATTAGCGTGAAGGGTCTTTCCTAAGGACCCACACTGGCAGCTTTTGCAGGACGGGTGACTTACCACTTGAGCTAGCCAGCCACTAAACAACTCAATAATAGGTTTGTTTGTGTAAAGCTGGCAGGCAGGGCATTCATATACATTTCTAGTCATAATTTTGATTTGTCATTTAAAAAATGCAGTTGTGATGATTAAAAAGACTAAAAAACAATTAACTGTGAATTTATTTTTTATGTTTTTTAATTTTTAATTTTTTCATTGTGGCATGTTTACAGTAATGTTTGTGATTGCTGTGGCACAGCTGTCCTGTTACCTACTAACGACTTCAAACAATTAATGACAAGTTTTTATCATCATTAAAGTAGTAAAACAGAATCAGATATTAGGGGATGCTCATATCATGACGGTCCAAGTGTGGATTTAAGGAGTGCAGAAACATCAGTTTTCTCCTCAGCCAGCAGAACTGGAAGCTGTGGGAAGCTATGGTTCTGATCCAGTATGTGGGTTGATCCCGCACTGCCTTTATTCTGTTTTACTGTACAGAAGTTATAGTCTTTGGACAATAAGCTGATTAGTCAGTCACTTAACCCAGCAGATGGAGCCTTGGTTCGGACTGGGCGTCTGGAGTCAGGATGCAGCATCGGCTTCTTGTAGCACTGAGGTCTGCAGATCAGGAAGGTGAGAAGAGGCTCAGATGTTGGGAAAAGCTCCACAGCTTGATGCTAAAACACTTTTTGTTTGAAATGCTTTGTTTTCGATTTGCTCCATATTTTGTTTGGGTTTCCTCTGTTTGCTGTTTTCCTGAACGTTTCTGTGTCCCCCTCCCCAACCTGCTGCAATTACAGGTCACCTTTAAACACTGTGGTTTGTTTCCTGCATACAGAGAAAATCTTATCCCGAAGGACTTGAAGACATCTGATCTCACAATATCACTTTTTCGGATTTTAGTTTTTAACAACCATTTTTTTTCATCGGCAAATGATTCTGTTTGCTGCTTGATGAATCCCTGCTGTCAGCTGGTTGCCGTTTATCGGCGGTTTGTGGCCGATGTCAGAGGAGATGAGCCAGCAGATCCAAACATCTGTTAAACTAATTGATGACAGTTTGATGAACAGACCCAAGTTCAGGTGCTAGTTTAGTTAGACTGCATGAAACTAACCTCAGAGGAAGGTTTTTATCTCACAGACCACCATAAACTTTACAGAGTGATATTTAAAGAACAGAGGACTGACAAGAAGGCCAACATCCTACAGTATAGAATGGAGGCGGGAGCCACAGAGGCTCACGTAATAATGAGATTGGAGTTTCCTTTCAGAGATCTTCTGTTTTTTCTTAAGAGCACTTTGGCTGTGCTGATTGTTCCTGAGCTGGTTCATACTTTTCCTTTAGGATAATTTAATATATCTTTGCGAGTCTGAAGTGTTGGAACTGACATGTGATCACAAGTGAATGTTTAAAAGGGGTTTGCTCCGGACCTCAAAGGTTCTGTGGTCTAAGGAAATCTGCTTTCAAGTCCATGTCTCAGTGGGGTAAGGAAATGATGTTTCTAAATCACGCAGAGCAAAAGCTTGCTCACTAAAAAGCAGAACTCTGCTTTCTGCCACTAATAGTACCAAAAGCTTCTAGTTGGGGAACATGTTGAGTTTCCATTCCTCTCTGTGGTCCTGTGGCAGTACATTTGAAGAGTTTTAGAGGAATTAAATTGAAATGACTTTATAATTCCATTGACCTGATGCTGACTTTTTTTATTGCTATATGTCCTTCATTTTAATGTGTGTTTTTCCGTTAAGTTAGCACTCTTATCTCCTCAAACATTCACGTCCAAATGTTGATTGTCTAGTCACCTGTGTCACGATTGATTGTGGTTTGTTGACCCAAAAGCAGAGGCAGGTGGCATAGGTGAATTTCTTGTGGATTTATTGATGAGTTAGCTGAATGCAGAAGCTGGTTATCCAAAATCCAAATATGAAAAACAAAGTCCAAACTAACAGGAAACCAGGAGTCCAAAAATCAAAACAAGAAAACAAGTCAAACGAACCAGAAACCATGGAGACATCAGAGGGAAAATAATCACAAGGAGGAAGGCTCAGAGAGACGGAGTTGGAGGAAGTTAGACGAGGAACCAGCAAAAAAGAACTGAACAGAGAGAGTATTTAAAGGAGACCGAGACAAAGAGAGGACTAACGAGCAGATTGGGAGCAGGTTTGCACAGAGCAAAACAGAAAAGGAGCTAGGGAAAAAGGAGAACACAAGCGGGCAGTAGAGCGCAACACATAAAAACCTAGAAAACGGAAAATAACTAGAAAACACAACAAAATAAGAACTAAACCACTAAGACTATAAACATGGAGCAAAGTAAAACTGAATACTCAAAAGAAAAACATAACAGAGCCAAGACTGAAACAGTAACCAAGAATTAACCACAGAACACAACAAAATTAAAATTAAACTACTAAAACACTGAACAAAAAAAAACAACAGAACCAAGACTAGAAAACAAGGAGCAAAGCAAAACTGAAAATTTAAAAGAAAAACATAGCAGAACCAGAACTCTAACAACCACATGTCAGATACTGACAAATCAGATGTTAAAATGAGGAGGATTTGTCCCCTTGTAAAAAAGGCTGTTGCACCCCGGGGGACTCCTCACCAGTTCTTTTCCTGGGAGCAAGTTATTTACTACTCTTAACTCAAACTGGGTAAAACCATATAAAAAGGACTATAAAACGGGAGTAAAAAATAACAGATTTTATTCCAGAT